GCCCGAGTCCTGACTGTGTATTGACCTTTATCTCTGTCTCACATCGCACACACTTTTGATTATCATTTAATGAGCTTTTAATGCAGATTCTGTGCTCGTGAAGCGCCTCTGACCCGTGACATTTTGTGCCGGTCGAAGCGAGCGTGTTATTAATAGGACGTGGGTCTGTGATGATGCATATGTTCTCGTTAGCGTGGCCTGTGCCGTCTTTCTCATTGCGTGTTCATCTGTGTGTGTTTCAGGTGTGCATCGTGCAGAAGCGGGACACGGAGAAGATGTACGCCATGAAGTACATGAACAAGCAGCAGTGCATCGAGCGGGACGAGGTCCGGAACGTCTTTAGAGAGCTTGAGATCCTTCAGGAGATCGAACATGTGTTTTTAGTAAACCTCTGGTGACTATCCTGTGCTTCCTCCGATTCTCTCGTGTCTTCTGCATGTGCATGATGATGATGGGTTTTGTTTCTCATGCAGTTCTTTACATTATTTCTTTTATCTTAATTTTTACATATGTGCAACTTCAAGGAATAGTTCACGAAACTGTGTTCACCTTCAGATCATCTGAGATCAGGATGAGTTTGTTTCTTCATCAGGTTTGGAGAAATGTAGCTCTGCATCAGTGTCTCAGCAATGGATGCTCTGCAGTGAATGGGTGCCGTCAGAATGAGAGTCCAAACAGCTGATAAAAACATCACAATAATCCACAGCACTCCAGTCCATCAGTTAACATCTGGAGAAGACAAAAGCTGAAACTAATCCAGCATTAAAACATTTTTAACTAAAATACAGTATCCTCCAGTGAGTCAGTGTTCTGGTGTGAATCAGGAGAGAAATCTGCACAGATCAAGCAGGGTTTAAACACCTCTAAACACATATGAGGCTGGATTCTGATGCGAGAGACAACAGCAGATGCACTTCTTCACTGGAGGAAGCGTTATTATGGATTATGAACTTAATGTATTTTAGCTGGAAACAACGGTTTGAAGTTAAAACATTTTAACGATGGATTTGTTTATTCCAAACACGCTGCTTTTCATTTCTCCAGATGTTAACTGATGGACTGGAGTGCTGTGGATTATTGTGATGTTTTTATCAGCTGTTTGGACTCTCATTCTGACGGCACCCATTCACTACAGAGCACCCATTGCTGAGACACTGATGCAGTGCTACATTTCTCCAAACCTGATGAAGAAACAAACTCATCCTGATCTGAGGTGATCTGAGGATGAGCACATGCTCATTTCTGGCTGAACTATTCCTTTAAATTGGCATGAAATGAAAATTCACAGTATCTACTTTCTAAATGTATCTTATAGATCTTATTGTAAACAATTCATCCATGTATGTTTTTTTGTTTGTTTTATGTTTAATCCAAATATTAACTCGATCTTCCAGTGAAGCATCAGTCTTCTCTCTGGTTACACGTGCAGGACTTCTCCAATCATTTAGTGCTGTTAAACTCCGCCCCTTCAAGCTCTGAGTGCCACACCCTCATCTCAACATCCAATCACCAACTGAAATACAGAACCAAACCCCGCCCTACATTTACAATACAGAAGAAAAGATCCTTAATTTCATGGTGACTTTGAGTCATGATTGTGTCGGTGACGCTCCAGCAGTCCAATCACTGCGTGCAGAAAGAGCATATAGCACATATTTCCTCTCGCTCTCATTTTCCTGATTGCTGTTTTGATGCAGGCTGCCAAGGCCCTCCCGGTGCTCAGGTGACAGTGGCAGACCTCTCTTTAAGTGTTAATAGGACGTCACCAGCTGTCCGCACAGGTAGATCCAGAGCCCCGCTCCGAACCATCTGTGCATCCTCCATCATTACTGCCTCTGAACAGAGAACAGAGAGAGAGAGCGAGGTGGCCGGAGCTCAGGAGACTCAACGGAAGGAGGCACTAAACAGAGAGCAGATAATGAGAAGCGCCGGATCTCCTGGAGGAATACGGCCAGCTGTCACTCACAAACCCTGCGGGCCACCTGGAGCCGGTTCCCACACTCACCAAACCCGCTGGAACTCAGTCGCATGTCATTCAGACTCTGTCAGGCTGACCCAGGATCAGACTCATGACTCTAGAGAGCTTCGGCTCACTCTCAGCTGATGCGGGTCCATGCAGAGCTGCTGTGCTTTGATGTGATGACTAAAGAGTTCAAATTTAATTTTATGGCACATTTGAACTGTTTATCTTGGCTAACAATAGCTGACTTATTTAAATGCCAAATACAGTTTAAACCAAGTTTATCAAATCATGAAAAGCTGCTACCACACAAAACACATGGTAATCACTTAGTAACACCCTAGCAACCAATTAGAACACTCTTGTAGCGAATCAGCTCATGGGGAAATATGAATAATTAACCATAACTAGTTATAATTAACTATTCATATTTTAGATCCACTGTAGATATTTAGCTGACCACTCAGGGTCAACCGTCTTGTCAATTCTAAGAACGTTAATTTCCTGGTTAAAGGAAATAACTTTCTTACTGTACAATTCTATAAGTTTGTAACGTAAATCTGCATGAAGAGTTCAGATGTTAAAGGAGTCTGATAACAATCCTGTTATCAGGTTCAAGTTTAACTGAACTCTTCATATATATATATATATATATATATATATATATATATATATATACAGAGAGAAAGGCACATATTCACACCCACTTATAAAAGCGTCTGCTAAATGACTAAATGTAAATGTAAATATATATAAAGAGTTCAGATGTTAAAGGAGTCTGATAACAATCCTGTTATCAGGTTCAAGTTTAACTGAACTCTTCATATATATATATATATATATATATATATACATATTAGTGCTGTCAAACGATTAATCGCATCCAAAATAAAAGGTTTGTGTGTGTACTGTGTATATTTATTATGTATAAACACACACACATACAGTATATATATATAGAAAATATGTACATGTATATATTTATATTCATATCATTTATATTATATATAAATATATTTAATATAAACATATTTTTCTGAAATATATACATATTTCCTGCCATTTCTTTATATTTATATGTGAAATGTACAAGCTTTTTTACAGTGTTGATTGTCACATTCATATCTACTCAAGGTTTCAGTGAGCACGCATCCTTATCTGCTTTACATCAGCATTACATTACATTTCTGTTTACAATCACTCACTGTTTACTGTAATATTAATACCTTCATGTTCTATAGAGACTCATTGGGATCTGTAAAATTTGTGATAGTAATTTTAAATCTGTTAACACAGGTTTTAACACAGAAATGGGATTGTATAATATATAATTCTGTTTGGGTCTGTTTGACACACAAAACACATCAGTGACTCTTAAAGCCCAAACTGAATTATTGTAACATTAATGCAAAGGACGTTTGATGCACGTTATTAGATTTACATTTAGTTCATAATCGGTCAGAGCCTCAGTGTCCAAACCGAACATAAAATCATCCAGTTTTGATGAACATATGAATGTTTTTAGTTCATGCATTCCCTGGGAATCAAACCCATGATGGTTATAAATGAAGGTGTTGTAATAAATAGCTTTGAGCTTTGAAACCCCTGAACAGGTCGCATTACAAAGAAAGAAATAGTAATAAAAATAAATGAAACATCTCTGCCTGCTTCGTACAGGCTCTTTAACCCAGCGGTCAGGTTTGGCTGAGATGTAACTGTATTTAACTGTATTTTTGATCAATGAATGCAGCCTTGGTGAGCAGAAATAACTATTTTTTAGAAACATTAAACAATCTTACCAACCCCAAACTTTAGAACAGTAATAGGTCACACTTTATTTTAAGGTCCAATTCTTACTATAAACAAACCATTAAGTATGACTTTTGCCTCAATAAACTCCTAATTTGCTGCTTATTAATAGTTAGGAAGGTAGTTGTTAAGTTTAGGTGTTGGGTAAGATTAGGAATGCAGAATATGTGCTTTACAAGTACTATTACTACTACTAATAATAATTCTACTACTACTACTACTACTAAACTAATAAACAGCCAATATGCATGCTAATAAGCAGCTAGTAAATAGTGGGAATTGGTCGCTAAACTAAAGTGTTACCCAGTAATATATTATTTATTTATTTATTTATTTATTTATTTATTACAGGGACAATGTATTTATTTATTAATTAAAACTGCATAATTTTGCCAGCAAGATTTTATGATTGACAGTGTCGAAAGCCTTCTTGAGATCCAGGAACACAGCTCCAACAACCCCACCTTGATCCAACGAAGCTCTAGATATGCAAGTTCTTTATTAATTCACCAGGATATTTTGTTTAATGAATACAGCTTTGAATAATCTCTTAATTATGGAATATTTTTCTGTGTTGAATTTGTGGCCAATGGAAGATATTAAATAAACTGATATTAAAGTTGATCCAGGTCCACAATCACATCTTCATAATGTTCACATAATCCGGATCTCTCTGAGACTACAGGAGAAAACAAGACAAAATTATTATTACATACTGTAGATCAGCGATCAGTTTGTGCTATATTAAAGCATGGCATCTCAGCAATACAATACATAAGATACAAATAAACATACAGAACATTTATTGTATTTACCACATTTGATAAATCACTTTTTTTGACCAAAGCTAGATCGATGGATTTATGACTGGAAGCAGGAATCTGTCACTCACACACACACACACACACACACACACACACACACAGACACACACACACAGACACACACACAGACACACACACACAGACACACACACAGACACACACACACAGACACACACACAGACACACACACACAGACACACACACAGACACACACACACAGACACACACACAGACACACACCCACACACATACACACACACAGACACACACACACACATACACACACAGAC